AAATTAAACTTGTGAACTGAGGTACCACTGTACACTCTTAGGTGAGTATCATTGCTATCTAGTTATTTCTCCACCCAATCCTAATTTTCTCAATCTCACCTTTCCTTTTGATTATCTGAATTAGATATGTGTCCATTTTCTGACTACTTTTCAAAAGTTGTGTTGTTGAGATTTCTGAATATTTTCCCATTATCATCTAATTTGGTTCTTTTTAATATAACCTTCTTTATCCTTCTTTTGTGTTGTATCGATTCACTGCCTAAATTCTCAAATTCAATACTCATCTCATTGATATTTTATTTGTTCTTTTCCAAAGTAAGTGGCGATGGCTAGGTATCTAGTCTGATTTCCTAATATTATTTTATTTCACTCTTTCTGATAAAGTTTATCCTTAAATTCATTTGTGTTTTCATGGACTTGAAATTGTATAAATCTCTACTGAATAATTGTAATGTCTCTATCTCCTAGGGATCTGATTCTGCTTAGTATGGTACTTTGTGTATCTCATAAAAGAACTTGACAAGGAAGTACTTATTTTCTTTAAATTTTAGTGTGATTTTCTAAAATTCCAGGATTAAAATGCTTTCTTCAAAAAAATATATATCATTTACCTGGAGCACTGATGGTTTTTAATGTTTGCTTTCATAACTAAGTGTTTGCCCTTTGGGGTCTGATGTTCATATACTGTAGTAACTCCTTAGACTCTTCAGAGAAATAAGGCCCTACCTAGAGAACAATTTTTTTTAGGCCATGAGTTGGTAGGAAGTAGTGCTCAACTTCTTAAGCAACAAGTCAGCTGTGTTAGTTCTTACTATATTGCAAAAAGATGGTGGACTGGATTGTAGAAACTACAGAATTATGAATGTTTTCATGTATTACAATTTCCGTAAATCTTGATAAACTACAGATTAATCTTTGTGAAGTCTTTAAATAAATTAGTCCTATAAACATAATAAAGAGAATTTTTTGAATTAAAAAAAAAAGAAAGCTTCCACCTTTCAGAAGGCCTGGGAGGCCAAGCAGTGTGACCCTGAGAGGACAGTATGTGAGGCCATGAGGAAGAAGCCAGAGATGCAGTGGAAACTCCAGAAATTTGGAAAATCCAGGTACATGAAATATCTAAGGAAATCTGCAAGGAGAAAGCAAAGCATGTCCAAGAGACACCATGAGAGCTATAACCACTGGAAGCACCACAGGGGTAGAGTCACTCAAGGTCTTTGGAGCTCACAACTTGCCACAGATTGTCTGGGATGCTGCATGTGAAACTACAGGACTTAATGTTTTTCCTGGTGGATTCTGGACTTGCTTTGTTTCCAATCCTTTTTATTCACCTGTTTGTAACTTTTGGAATCAAAATGTTTATCTTGCTCCATCGAATGTTAAAAGTGCCTAACTTTTCATTTGTACAGGGGCTTGCAGCTAAGAGTTTGCCTTACATCTCAGAGGAGACTTAGAACTTGGACTTTTTAGCATTGATGAAACTGTTGGGACTTTGGCAACTGTTGGAGATGGACTAAATACCTTTTGCATAAAGGGTCTCTGGGAGTCCAGGGGCAGAATGTTATGGTTCTAAAGTAATGTAATGTTGTTAGATTTAATACTGGTTCTTAAGGATTACTAAAGCTGTTATAATGTTCAAGTTTTGAAATAATAATAAGCATGTTTTGTATCTGGAAACTGGTTTAAGCAAATATATCTGGTTGCCAAGTTGATATGGGTGGATTATAATGGTTGATACACTGTCACAACTTGGGAAGTTTAGAAGTTCAACTAAGCCCCAGCAGAGGGGTAGGGTCCTCACTTCATAAACATCTTAGCCTGTGTAAGAGGAGGGCACCAAGATGGTGTGAGGGATAATAGACTCTGGGAACAGGAGTAGCCAACTTACAGTAAGAGAAAGGAAATAAGGCTTGCTCTTCCCCCTTCTGCTCTTACTGCTTTTGTGACTTCTGCTGCCTTGAACTGTGACCCCTGTACCATGCCACCTTGCCTTGCAGCCAGCTGATTATGGACTGAAACCTCTACAAACTGTAAGCTAAGTAAACTATTCCTTCTTTAAATTTGGTGTCCTGTATTTTGTTCTAACAACAAGAGAAAAATAACCAAGACAGACATTTAGGTTTAATATTACAAAATATTACCATGTCTATAGCTCTCGATTTCTAATCTTAGGGAGAAAATTTTTAGAATGAGGGGTCCAAGCATGTTCCAGAAAAAAAGCAATGCTGTTTCTATCACTGAACACAAAATTTTTATAGTTCTACCAGCTTCCTTGGTCAGATCTGCAGAAATGTACAGCTGTCAGCTTAATGAGGACAAAGTGGACAGAACCAGAAACAAAGATCCATCTTCACAGATTATCCCTGCAGGGCCTAGGAAGTGTCTAGGGAGTAGGATAAATGACATTCAGATTTCACAAGGATCATGCTCTGCTTCTGAGACCAGTGACTTTCCAACAGCAATGTTGAGTCACCACTCACCAGTTCCCCATCATCTCTCAAGCCTCTGAGGCCTGCAACAGATCCTTAGATGGCTTTACTGACCAATGTGTCAGATGAGTACCAAGGGGGTTGGACTGGAACACTTATCGCTAGTGTCCCCACACTGGCTGCTAACTGGTCTGATAAACAGAGTGAGTCTTCTTGAAGTTAGCTTCTTAAGCTTGCTGTCTCACTCAACTTTGGATTTTTTAAGTCTAAGGCACCTAGAACCCCTTACAATTGATAGAAGTAGGCCATTGGCAGTTCTTCCCCTGAGAGAGAGACAGAAAACACACGTCCAGGGGTGAGTGGGACCTACTGAGGATTCCTGCCTCTTGCAGGATTTGGAGCCCTAAGCTAACCAAGCTGCAACAGATTAGCATGCTCAGGCTTCAGGAGATTGTTTCACAGCATCTAGAAGACTGATTCTTCTTGCCAGGGGGAAAAAATCTCTTTCAGACATAGAATCTCAACTGAGTGAACAATCAGAAATGTCTCCACCCCAAGGTACTTTTAACAGACCTATGAAGTCAGTCTTGATGTCAACTGCCAAAAAATAACCCAAAAAGACATCTGTGCATATCAGAGCCTATGACAAGGCTTATAGAGGTACTCCAGCTATTAGTGAAAGTGATGTGTACTAGGCAGAGACTTGGAATGCAGAGAACATGAGTTTGGGGTTCATTTCTTGTGAACCTGTAATCCTATTCATTGTTAGACATCTTCAAAGTTTGAATGAGGGTATGAAAATAACAACTATGCATTCAGTGCCAAGTCACTTATCTCAAACATAGTGACCACTCAATATCCGATAGAAGAATCAAGTGATCGCCAGCTGCCTTGAATTCCCATTGTCACCCATTGTCGGCCTGCATTTTGCAGCCTTCCTTGAAACTGGGCGAAGTTAGTATGGGTGCTTTGGTTTCCTATTCTGTCCCTTTTCTTATACAGCTGATCCCAGGAATCTGAAGAAGCTGCAGCAAAAGGCTCTGCGCAAGCTTGACAGTGAGTGAGTACTTACCTGGAGTACATCAGTATTCAGCTGGTGAAAGTTTCGAGATCTCAACTCTTGCATCCGCTTATTATTTTCTTCATACTTTTCTTCCACAATCTTTCTGTGAGTTTAAAGTAAATGTAGAAAAATAACTTCAAATTGCTAAAAGTATAGCTATATTACACTGCTAAGTATGATCTTTGTTTCAGCAGGTAGGCAGGAGCCAGGAAGCCAGGTCATCAGGACTCTCCTGGGTGGTGCTGTACACCAACAGCATCCCGCAATTCTCTTTCAAAGCATACACAAGAATGCTGTGGCTTCCTATCCTTCTAAATATCCTCAAAGCCAGCAGGAGGAAAAGAACACCCATCTGTGTACATCCTGAGCGTGATGTTGGGGTATCCCAAAAACCCAGCACAGTGTTTAGTACATGCTAACTAGAAAAATGCTTTCAACAAAAACAAATCCATTAAAAATGAAAACTGAGCAACATATCAAAGAATTCATGAAAAAATACATGTAAATCAGTAGAGGAGAATTTACTACACATTTTCTTTGCTCTACTGTTATAGAGTTGAGTTTAATAGTTGTGCTACTAAGCTTGGAAAAAGAATTAAGTTGTTATGATTACTTTTGCCCTAAAACATTTATGGATTTTTTGACAATTCACTTAGCATCAGTTCAGTAAAATTCTCTTATCAATAAAATCAGTGTGCTATAACTCTTCTGACAACACAATCAATTTCTAGATAAAATATACAATCTCTTTTGAATTCCAAGAATGATAATTGAAATCATAATCCAAATTATTCATAAAATCAAAATTATTTTATAGAAAATGCATTGCTTTTAAATGATCATAGGATGACATAAAACTATTACTGTCACATGGAAGATGTATGATTTTCTTTGTCCATAAGGTAGTTTTCATATGAATAACTTGTAGTATACATGTAAATTATTAAATTTGCCTCTTTATAATCTATTCCTATCTGAATAGATTTAATCTTCCTTTTGCCCTTAGCCAATTATGTGAATCGTGGTGCTCTGGAGACATTAACATTTTTAAGTGACAGAAATAGATGTGGGGCTGTGAGTTGCAGTGGCTCAAGCAATTTGTAGGAATATATTTTCTCAGTAAATCTATGCTCAGCATCATACTGGTTTGCAGAAACTGGCTCGTGCTGGCTCCCGAGAGCAGGTTGCTCCCAATGGAGTGTGTATACCACAAGGACCAGTAACCAGATCAGCTACCTCCACGCTCTGAGCTGGTTGCTAAACACTGAGTAGCACACCACTGCTCAGAATATACTTTGGCAGAAATCTGTTTGTATACTTATTGAAGGAAGCATTTGGGAAAAATCGTTTCGTAGAGTCTTTGGTTCCTCATTATGTTTGTTCTAAGCACAAGGATGCCTCTAAATAATGTTTTAGATATCTTAACATAGTCACAACATGAACAGATTTGCATCGGGTCTTTTCTGTCTCTCTAGGTCTTGCTTGGGACTTCTAAACTACCAAAAATTAGGTAGAGGAAGGAAGAGAACACCTGGAAAAGTGGTTTAAGAAATTCAGGTCTAGTACTCTCCAAAATTCTCACTCTATACATTTATTTTTTTTTCAGCTTTATTAAGGTCTAACTGAGAAAACTGTTTATATTTGTAGTGCATACATTTATGTCTATAGTTTTGGCATGTGTATACATTGTGAAATAGTTAGAATAGGCTAATTAATATAGCCATCATTTCACAAACATCATTCGTTTGTGGTGAGAACATTTAAAATCTACATCCTAGCCATTTTCATATATAGATTAGCTTATTGTCCATCACAACGATGTGCAATAGATGCCCAGACCTCATTCCTCCAGCCTCACGTCTCCTCCTCCTTGCCCTTCCCCCACCCCTGGTAATTACCATTCTATCCCCACTTCCATAGGTTCAATTTTTTTTAGACTACTGATATACCTGTGAATAGACAGTATTTGTCCTCCTACATTTAGCTTACTTCACTTAACCTAATGCTCTCCAGGTTCATTCATGTTGTTGAAGCTAATGAGATTTACTTTTCTTCAAGACTAAGTCGAACTCTATTGTGTATATACACACTTCATTTTCTTTGGCAGACACTTAGGTTGATTCTATGTTTTGGCTGTTGTGAATAAGGCTGCAGTGAACACAGGAGTGTTACTGCCTCTTCAACACACTTTAATTTCCTTAGGCTGTAAACTCGGAAGCAGAACTTCTGTATCATATGGAAGTTTTGTTGGCGATTTTTTTGAGGAAATTCCACACTGTTTCCCATGATGGCTGTACCAATTTCCATTTCTATTAGCCATGTACAAGAATTCTCTTTCCTCTACACACTGGGCATTGCTTAAAATTAAACTTTTCATACGAATACTTGCATTACTAGTGACATCTCCTACCAGCAGTGCTGCCCTATGCATACTTTCCTAAATGCTCTGCTTGAAGGAACAGAGCTGTTTTCGATTTATTTCCCTCCACAAGGCAACAATTTCTTGCCAGCATGTTGCCTTCTCCCCGTAGCTGGGTTTTCTGGCAGAAGCAGCTAGAGAATGAGACTGGCATCCAAAAGACTTCTTTTCAGCCTCTTGCTGGGTATACATAGAAAGTGTCACCAACCCAGAGGTTGCTTTAAGAGACTGACCATATTTCTATTGCTGGTAACCTACCAAATTTTCAATCTTCCTTTTCCCACAAAACTGAGAGCCTGATAAAATGGTGCCCAGAACCCAATATGCCTCAGTAATCATCTTTAGAGCAAATAAGTAAATTAATATGTAATTGTATGCATTTAAGTTTCTTTCCTCGGTTTTTTATTGTTCTCACTGAATTCCTTGACAGCCTATACAGTAGAAGGGCACAGGGCATCCCAGGAGAGGAAGCTTACTTCAGCTTCCCAGCTTTTTCATCTGCTGCCTGGAGCTTCCTCAGCCTCATCCTTTCTCTGGGCGTCATTTTCTGCACTTCAGACAGCGCCCACAGAGTCCGCAGGTGGATCTTTTTCTGCCTATAAATATTAAAGATTAACAACAAAGATTCCCCACATGCCACCCACCACAAACATACTACGAAAAATTAAACAAATATTTCATACACTTATCATTATGCTACTGAGAAACCAAAAGCATCTTGAGAACAGACTAGGCAGAAACTAATCTCTGTGGAGGTAACGAGCCAGCCAGGACTGGAAGTTAATCGGCAGTATTTTTCAAATTAGATTTTTGTTTAAAAGCAAATTATGTGCTTCCCAGATTTCTGCTCATTTCATTGCCTGTGCCTGGTTTTCATAATGTAAGACAAATCAGGACCTTAGCCATTAGAGAGTAAGTAGACTGGCAGAGTAATTCAACCATGGGAATAAAGATGTAATCACTGGACTAAGGCAGGGTTTGAATTTCACCTCCATCATCCAGCTCTGCTGTCATAAGCAAGAAACTCAACCTCGGTTTCGCCATCTAAAGAATGAGCTACAGTAAGTACAGTACAGGACTTAAGATAATTTTTCTGTAAAGGTGCATAAAAATTAACCCAAAATCATGGTATTATAACCTCTAATTTTTACTGAATATGATTTATATTCCAGGCTTAATCCAAGACAGATTTTATGGCAGGATTGTATGGTAGTTTATCATGCAGGTTAATAACACTCTCTGGGTTTAATGCTGGGCTCACAGGTTACATTCTACATGCTCTTGTGCAACTTACCTAACTTCTCTATGATTATAAAAAACAAATACATAGTAGCTATTTCATAGAGGTGCTCTACATTTAAATGAGTAAATACATGTAAAGTAATTTTAAAAGTCAAGTGTATGGTAACTGTCCCTCCCCCCTCCAAAAAAAAAAAAAGTTAGCCAATATTGTTAAAGGACCTGTGCAGTCAGTGAAAGGAGGATGCTCATATTTTGGGGGGTTTGTTTGTTTGTTTGTTTTGGTGGAACCAGGGATTGAACTCAGACCCTTGCGCTGGCCAGGCAAGTGCTTATTCTACTGAGCCATCTCCCCGGCCCCTAGGATGCGCATATTGATCTAGCATTGAAAGACCTACAATCAAATTCTCTGTGACATTAACTTCCGTGTCTGACTTGGTTAGGGCCCAGTATTGGAGAATGCTTTGCGCTCTCAATTCCTTCCTTAAGAAACACCACAAAAAAACTGTAATGAAAACTGCTTGTGTAGTTTTTATCCCTCTGGAATATCATCCAGACCAGAGCCTCCAAGGGATCTGCAGTGTTTCAGGAAGACTCATCCATTATTTTGTAAGACCAAACAGGTTGCCTTAAAACAGAGTCATAGATTTTGGAAATAAGAGGAACTAAGTGAAATCAGTATTTCACCATGTGAAGTATCCTCCTAACAATTAGATTCTAGCGCACTGTTGATTGGAAACAGTGTCAGGCCAATGATTTCATAACTACGGTGTAACACCATAGCTAAAATTAGCTCAGTATTTTAAAGATATCACCTACTTTCATGTTTCTAGTTAACAAAATAAAATTAGAAATTACAACTTTTCTGGAAAGAATAAATGGTAACCCAAGAAAATGAGGTTATGAGCATGCCTAAAAATACAACACCCTCCCCATGCAATGCACGTTAACTGGGGATTGTGAATTGGGCTGGTGTCTCTGATAGGCCAGTTTACTTAGTCTGAAGGTGACTATGGACAACAAGCGTGCTGCAGTCAGGAAACCACGGGGCTGAGTGTTCGAGAGTACATTTAGCTAGTTGGCCTTGAAGGTCAGTCTGTTGAGGGCCTCCATTGCCTTGCATACCTCTAGGCAGGAACTGCTATTGTCTTTGGGTCCTTATGAAGTTAAGTAGAGAGCTTTCCATGAAATTATAGATTTAGTCTTTAAAAGAAATATCCCCAGGCACTGTGCAGGGCACAGCACACACTGCTACCCATAGATGTCCCTATGTCACCTCACATTCTGGGCTATTGCAAGTTGCAGCACAAAAAAATTGAATGAAGAGAAAGAAAAATTGGGCCAAGAATTCATTATAGTTCTTTGGGAGGCAGACTTGCTATAGTTCCTATTATATTGCAAGGAATTAATTTTGGTTTATTTTCAATAGTCCCAGGACAAAACAAGATAGTCTTCCAGTTCACATTAAACAAACAACATATGAAAGCCATTTAGGCTTATTATCATGGAGAGCTCATTAACATAAATATCACCATATTATATTGTTTGAGATACTAATTTCTCTGTGCACTTAGGAGGCAACTGCAGAGCTGTCCTGCAGTTCTACGAGAGTGTGGTGGTTTAAACTTTTATGACTGCAATTTGCTACCACCTGGGGCAGTGGCTTTGGAACTCCACACTTCTGCAGCGCCTTAATTTCTTGGCAACACTTAAGTGCATTGTAGGAAGCACCATGTAGACAGCTTAGCCCTAATAGACTTTTAGAGACAAATGCACTTAATGTTTATGCTGGGCGAGCATTTTAAAAACAAAGCAATTACTTACATGGCATTAATTATATGAGCAGCTTCCTTCTGACAATCCAAATTCTTGTCTTCCAGAGTCATTTCTGAATATTTAAGCATCAGGTGCTGGGGGAAAAAAACAAAACAATGAACAGCAACTGTGGCAAACCTAAGGTTCCTCTTCAGCAGTGAGGGCATAGAACTACCATGTGCCTGCTCCGATTTGGAGTGTAACTACCACCGGAGGGAGCTTGCAAACAAAGCTCACAGTAACAACAGTTCCCTTAAAGGGGTCACATGCAATTTCATGGTAGCTTATGGTCAGGCTGCTGCCTGCCTCTTCAGTGCCCCTTCACTGGCTGCAGTGTCACCCTGTTCCCCATTACGTGCAGGCCTCATCCAGCTCCAACACACACGAGCCTGGCCCTCCTCAGCCTATGATGGACAAGATCCATGCTCCTGAGGAAGGACAAGGATGAGGCAAAGAGAATAGAAGGCCACCAAAAATTCAGCCTCCAAGATAAATAATACTTTACTATATACTATGATGCTAAAATTCTGCTGGCCCTGATCCCAGGCATGCTGAGCCTGCCACTGAGACCAGGCATGGTGGTGCATACCAGTAATGGCAGCACTGGAGAGGCTGAAAACAGGAGAATCACTACAAGTCCAAGTTGTGTAATGAGACCTTGCACAAATACACACACACACACACACACACACACACACACACTCAAAACTAACTCCACAAAGCCATAAAGAATATGGTATCAAAGACCTAATATATAAGATCCAACTATGAACTTGCACAACTCTACCTTATTTACTTCATCCTAATCCTGGACCTAGGTGGATCATTTTTTTAAAGTTTATGTGCTCTTCTTGTTGCCAGGGATTATTAGGATTAATTTGGATTTTTAAGTTATTGCTTTTAAATATTACTTATCTTGGTTATGAGCTTTTGGTGTTTCCTAAGTTTCCGCGGGGCAAGCGGCTCTCACTGCTTCCTTCTACTCTTGGTAGACCCGGATCCTCCGGGACTCCCCTGGCCCCACCCATCCCCCCTTTTCCTCTGTATACTCATGGCTGCTTCAGGGTGATTTTTTATCCCAACAGCTAGCATGATGTCTATTTTTCAGAAGATGGGCTGTGGGTGCACAAAGAGCAGGTGACAAAGAACCCGGGACCTTCAGCTGGCCTCTCCACATGTCCTACTTTCCCAGGTCTCAGCCTCCGCCTGGAGCAGGTGTTTGCATAAGAACCTTGCCTTTTCTGTCTGCCTCAGGAAACAACAGGTAACCCAGGGGCTTCAAACCTTCCACCCTGCTGTGACTCAAACACTGATTCTTACATTCTTTGGGCTGCTTTTGGCAGAATGCTGCCCTCCTTTCTTTTTTCTTCTTTTTTACAGCCTCCTACTTTCTTTCTTCCTAGTGTTTGAGATCATTTGTTTGTTCACCTTCTCTTGCTTATTAGGTTCTTTCACTAACAGTCAAACTTCAAAAGAACAGGAACCATGTCTGTTCCGTTCATTCTGGTCTCCCAGTCTCAGCACAGGGCTCAGCACACATGAGTGACCACGCATCACCATCGCATGCTTCCTTTGCATTTACAACTTGGCTCCATAATGGAAGGTGTGTGCACTTGGAAGGTGACGGCTGCTCCGTGGTTCCTACTAAAGTTACCATGAAAGTTATTAAAGCTTCCTGTTCAACTTGCTCTGCACTTTCTATCAAAATCAGATGAAAATTAGCTGGGTGTTGTGGGACACAGCAACCACACCAGTACTCTGGACAACTGCATATTCGGACCTAACCTGGGTTAACTGATGAGGCCATGTCCCACAATAACAGTGGTTTGAAAAAGAGACTGGGAAAAAACAAAAGGGACTGGGGATATAGCTTAGTATGAAGGCCCTGGGTTCAATCCCAGAACCATAAATTAATTAATTAATTAATTAATTAAAATCAGATTAAACTCTCCTGAAGGATTAGTATTATAAAAGCCTAGAAAGTTAAAAAAAAGAAAGAAAGAAAGAAAGAAAGAAAGAAAGAAAGAAAGAAAGAAAGAAAGAAAGAAAAAAGAAAAATGACTCCCCCAGAAGGACCATTTGCTTTTTTCTTACCACCTGAGGCAGATCCTCTATATTAAAATTTCAGATCCACAGGAAAACAAAATAAGCTCATTTAATCCATAAAACATTAAGTATTGAATTATATAATAAAGAAGTAGAATAATAAATGCTCAATGAAAATCCCAGATTGTAATGTTACTATTAATACACTTTTATCCTAGCAGGGTTATATTTCCAACTTACTGAGGTACACTCTGCCCACCTAAAAACCATAAGGTGGATATAGAGTTTAAGGAAGAAGTCAGTCCTCAGGTCCCATTCCTGGTGGTGCTAGGGAACTGTCTTCTGTAAAGAGACTGTCCTGTTTTTCTCAGCTTCCTTTTAGTCTTTTTCCTCTTTACTTGCTGACTGATTCTTTTTTTGACTGATTCTTAATGAATCTTATTCCTGCAGCATTTCTTCAAATTATAAAATATGAATACAAATGCTAGTACCTTTCCTTCAGTATTCTTTTCATTTTAAATACCTGTAGTTGTGCATCAATGTAGGGAATTTTTAAAATTTCCATGGCAGATGGTCTCAATGAAGGACTCTTGTTCAACATGCTGTAATATTAAAAAAAAAAAGAAAATTATTTTTCAAATGAACTAAAGCATAATTTCTCTTAAAAGTAATAACATGAATTAAGATCATTTATTGCAGGTTAATAATTAGCTTCTCTTCTGGAGGGTTAACAACCTAAATTAGCAGATCAAAATTAGAGAAAAGGAAGGGCTGCAAAGTCAGCCAACATTTTGGCCCCAGCCTTTCAAGGTCAATGAAGACTCAGGACATAGGAAACCTGTACTGTAACAATATGTAACTCAGTTGTGTCCCAAATTTTCTGATCAAGTAGATTATGGAGCCACAGAGGAATGTGATCGATGATGTATAGTGTGTCTGGGGAGAGTCACAGGGAGAGAAAAAAATTCTCTCAGGCTTTCACAGAAAGCAAATTGATCAAGCAATGGCCGTGACTCATCCTCATAGCTGACATTGACAAAGGACCCACAAAGTGCGGTACAGGGCTGCAGGACAAATCCTGAGAGTACTTGACTGACTTTATCAGATACAAAAGCTACATTTCTTGTTATACAGGTCTTGCTTTATCTTGGTCTTAACCATCCAGCAGGAAAGTATAAAAATAAGGTATATGAAGTAAAGCTATATTAATACGATGAGCTGTTAAAGGATCAAGTCAATAACTTCTGAGGATAACCCACTAATATTATAGACTGCTAGATAGTGTTGGATTGTTTAGCTGAATTCAAACACCTATAGTATTTAGATGCCAATATACTATCCACCTCTGACAGGACAAAACAAATTTTTAAAAAATGATACAAAGGAAAGATCATTTTGTATTTATGTATACAAAATAGTTAGGATAGATATACAGATACTTTCACTTAATCAAAAAAGAAAAAAAAGGGGAATAAAAAGGGTTGGAAAAGAAAACCCGGCCGCCTCCTGGAACGCGAAAAAACAACAAAAAAAAAAAAAAGTAAAAAGGAATGAATAATGAAAACGGCCCAATAAACAACCTTGAAAACGGCCCAATCAAAATTAATCCCCAAATAAAAAATGCTGAAAAAAGTAAAATAAAATAAAATTATTTACTGGACATCAGATTTACTTCCAAACCTTTCCATGATGGTGTTGAGTTCTCTTGGGTATCTCGGAGGAAGTGAAGGTGTGTCCCCTCCAACAATATTTAAAACAATAGACAAGAAAGTGGAGCCAGTGAATGCATGATTCATACAACACATCTCATATAAAATGCATGCCAGTGACCTGAAGACAAAGTCAAAGAATTCAAATAAAGAACAAATGTAAGATTTTAAATTTTCTCATTCTACAAAACCTCAGAGGTATGGAGTCATTGACCACGAGGTGCTCATCTCCATTTCAATTGTTTGTTTAAACATTGCAGTTTTGGATTGGCATTGTCCCCATTTGAATGCATAATTATCAAAACAAACAGTCATTTTATAAGTCAAAGAATAAAACACAAAGGTAAATCTGAATGGCTTTTTTTCCAAAGAGGAAAGAACAAACCAGCAATTAACAAGACTCCAGCATAAAGTAAGAGTTCTAAAAATCGGACTAATGTATTTTTGAATTAGTCTCTATGCAAGAAAAATAAAATGCAACTAAGTAATGTCTTCCTAAGGCATTTTTAATAGAATGTGTACTAAGAACAATTTCATCATCCTAACCTGTGCTTTGTGTCTATACATTTTTAAAAAGGAAACTGTCATTCTTTACTAGTTTTCTGAATGTAATCCATTTGTAAGTAGGTGAGGAGAGTAGTTGATTTCAACTCACAGTAAAATACATAATTCTCCCGTGGGGAGTATGATACAGAACACTGTAAATCCAGACCAACCCAATGCTGATTTGGATTAAACATGCAAATCAGTTACCTCTACATGAGCAAAGAACCTTTTCAAATGTTCTACCTTACAAAGAAAATTAAATAATAAATTCCTCCTTGCATCTAACATTAAGACTGTATTTTTTTCTACATGATAGATTCTTTTTAATCTTATAGACATTATGAATTATGTAACTATCCAGGTTTTTACTTTTCATATTAGTGTCTTAAAAGATTAGAAATAAATTTAAGTAACTTTTAATGCTATTTAAAATTCACAGAAAGGTACATGTAAAGAAACCTATATCCAAGAATACTCTAATTTCTCTTGCAGTTGTTGATGAAAATGTGAATGCATAAGAGGACTGTGGATATATATATATTGAGAATGTTTCCATTCCAGTAAGTAAAAAAATAAAAAATGTCAGGTAACTGGTACTTTACATTTTAAAAACATTTTCAGATATATTTCAAAAGAAACTCCTAACTTTCCAGTGAACTAGAGTCAATATCATGTTGCTCCCATTTCATAGATAAGGAAATTGGCTCAGAGTGCCTAAGCGACTTGGCCAAGGTCACACAGTGAGTAAATGGTAGGACCGACTCGGGTTGAGGTGTTTTTCTTTCCAAATCACACATGATTTTAATTAGAATGAAACAGAATGTTAGAAGAAATCACATGGCACCATCTGGAACACCCAGGTCAATGTAAACATTATCAATTATTAAAACTATCTGAAATTCAAAAAGGTTTGCATCTGACTATAAGACTATTGTATCTGATACAGCAGCATGTACATAGGTTTTATTCCCTGAAAAAAAAAAATCCTTTGAATAAAGACGAAATAGCATTTTTAGACAATGGAGCTCAGTGTGAAAACACTACAAAATCATCATAGGGAGTTATAATAAAGAAAAATTATCCCAGAAAGAAAAAAGGAATACAAAAAATAAAGAGTGACAAAAAGAATAATTCTGTGAATGTGAATGTATAACAAATAGACATTAACTCCATAAAATAATATTAAAAACATCTTGTGGGGTTTAAAAACTGTGTAGAGCAAAATGTATGACAAAAACAACACAAAAGGGCCACCGAGATAGCTCTGTGGACTAAGCACCTGCTTAGGCAAGCACAGGGAGTAGGGTTGGATCCCTGGCACCACATGCTGCACCAGTCCCACCCCCAGGTGTCCTGAGCTGGCAACAGAGACAGGTGTGGTAGTGTATACCTGTAGTCCTACCGGTGAGGAGGCTGAAAACAGGAGGATCACTATGTATGAGTCTCAGCTGCATAGTAAGACTCTGTACCAAATACATTAAACACAAACACACACACACACACACACACACACACACACACACACCCCTCTACTGCATAGAGATGAAAATATGATCTTTTCATCAAGCGATGCTGGGCCAACTGAATATCAACAGGGTAAACACACACACACACACACACACCCCTCTACTGCATAGAGATGAAAATATGATCTTTTCATCAAGCGATGCTGGGCCAACTGAATATCAACAGGGTAAACAATGTATTTGGATTTCTGTCTTATAACACACACTTGGAAAACCAAAATATCAGTTATCACAGTTCTCTAACAGTGATAAATAAATCATAAACCCTTTAAACAAAAATGAGCATATCCTTGAGACACAAAAGGCATTAATAATAAAACTATGAACTTCTATTTATGAAAAGATGCCACTAGAAGATTAAAAAGGAAAACCTATAGATGAAGATATCTGTGATTCAAGTATCTATCAAAGATTGGTAATCAGTTTATGTTCAAATTTAACTTATTCATTAATTAAATTCCAATAATCATTCATAATAGAAGATAATACAATGGAAAAAATGAATAGGGCACTTGAACAGATACTTAATGGTAAAAAATAAATCATGAGATGTTCAACACAGCAGAAAAATAAAAATAAAAACCACAACAGAGTAACTATACATTATTTTTCAGAGTACTTAAAATAAAAAGACATAAAATACCATGGTAATATTTGTTATATTATGAAAATAATTCTTAGAAAAAAGAGAGAGGCTGGGGGCTGAGGAGACAGCTCAGCAGTCTGAGCGTCTGCCTGGCAAGCACAGGGACTGGAGTTCTATCTCAGGCACCACATGCCACGCCAGCCTGGAATCCCACCATGTGGCTGCCACACCAGCTGTGGTAGCGCACACCTATAACCCCAGCACAGGGGAGGCTGAGGCAGAGGAGCACTATAAGTCTGAACTGCATAGTGAGCCCCTGTATCAAATAAATAAATAAGTATCTTTTTAAAAAAGAAAGAGGCTGTACATTACTGGTAAAATATAAGATCGAACTGAAAATTTTTGCCTATGCTCAGGATATATAAAATATCTATGTCAATGGACTACCTATTATACTTATTTCCTCAGAAAGAGTCTATAATTCAAACCTCAAAAGTTTATTCTTATACTTATAGAATAGTAGAAGTACAAAAGAGTACAAAGACTTTTCTAGTTATAGATTCTTGTTTTGTTAATGAGAGAAAACAAAGGTCAGAGATAGAAGGCAACTAGCAAAGAAAAACATGTTGCATCACCTCCTGTTTGACTTGGGCATTAGTTCTCATCCAATATCTTTCTTTTTAAAATGCCTTTAAAGTTACAGTGACAACACTTTGTTGTATAATCCAGTGTACCTATAATAATCTGAACACTCAAAACAAAAATCAAACTCATAGGTCCAAGAGGTAGAGCCTACCAGGCACTCTGCACCCACACACTTCTAAAGATTCGTTCTCGGTCTCATAAGCTTAGAGTCACCATGAACTGGATTCAATGCAAACAAAACCACACAACCTCTCCTGACTCTGACAGGTCTGAAAGATTGGATAGAAGCAACTATACCTGACCCAGGACGTTGGAGTTGTCTTCAAAGTAGACTATTAAATTGTCTCCTCCAATCCTGAGCTGTAACATCATGTAACTCAGCTGTGTCCCAAATTTTCTGATCAAGGAGATTATAGGGCCACAGAGGAAAGTGATCAATGATATAGCATGTGCCTAAGGAGAGTCACATGGAGAGAAAACATTCTCTCAGACTTTCACAGAAAGCAAATTGGTCAAGCAATGGTCGTGACTCATCCACATGGCTGACACTGACAAAGGATCTACAAACTGTGGCACAGGGTTTCAGGATAAATCCTGAGGGGATTTGACTGACCTTATCAGATACAAAAGTTACACTGCTTGTTACATAGGTCTTGCTTTATCTTGGTCTTAACCATCCAGCAGAATAGTACAAAAATGAAGTACAAAAGTAAAGCCATATTAATATGCTGAGCTTTGTAAAAGGCTCAAGTCAACAATTTCTGACATTGCCAGTCTTACGGAAAACCCACTACTATCATGTACTAATGGACTACATTGGAATATTTTGCTGAATTCACTCACCTACAATATTTAAATGGCAATGGAATACCCATTTCTGACAAAACTAAACAGAAAAAGGGGATACAAATGAAAGATCATTTTAAAGCTGTTTATTCCAAACAGGAGAGAGAGAGATAGATAGATAGATAGATAGATAGATAGATAGATAGATAGAGATTCTTTTATTTGTTCTAATAGTGTTTGTGGACAGTATATCATGTCTACATCTTGTACAATGAATAACCACTAAGACAACAACATGCAATGTATTAATTATTGAAACTGTCCTACTAATTGGTTTTGAAACTGTCCCAGTTATTTGTTTCTCAATAAAATTATTTTTTAAAAAATAAAGGAATAAAAAAATAAATTGTCTCCTCCAATAACACAAATGGTAACAACAATAATAATGAAAATGACAACTGAAATTTTAATAGTATTTACTATGAGTGAAGCCCTGTTGTATACCTTCCTCTTATACCATATATTTTAACTCACTGAATCATTCTCACAATCTGAGTGAGGAATCTCAGATGAGGAAATGGTAAGACTAAGTAGTAGGAAGTAGAGCTAGGATTTGCAACTTAGACTTTCTAGAGGTAGAGACCTAGATTGCAGCATACTTGTCTCTGCATATTGTACAGAGCATTCTGGATCATTAAGCATTCTTGAGTTGAAAATCATGGCAGAAGCTTTCAACCAGGGCTTGACTTCCCAACTCAATGCAAATCTCGTATGGTACCATAATTCACATTTCATTACCACTGAGGCCTTAGACAATAAGTCAGTCAGGACAACAAATCATGGCAGATGAAGGACGAACAATGAGCAGCTCTGTAGGAACACAGAAAGACAAGCTTGGCCTTTCAGTTCTCTTTTATTATTTGGACCAAAAAGGGGATTGAGGGTCTATTAACAGTGAATTGATCAGGAACTCAAACCCTGCTTTGAAGGAATTAGAGGTCTGCCCAAGCCACATTTGATGAATTTATTAAG